ATTTTGAGTATAAGACGGAGGAAGGTGCTGTAAAGAATCTCAATCCTTTGTATTTTTATCTTCCTTCTCTTTTACATCTTTTTTTTTCTTCTCATACAGGTTCCTCTGCTGCTTCTTGCCTTAATCATATTGCTGCACGCTCCCCTTCACCCAGGCCCTTCCCACCACACCAACACCATCCATCCCCTGTTCTCGAAATCCCTTCTCCACTTCCCTTATTGCCTCCCTGGGTGTCCATGTCCTTAATTATCTCTGGGGGAATGTGCAAACTGCCTCAACATTCTCCCCTTTTGTAAACAATACTATATTCATGTCTCTGTTAAATCTTTGTTCTTCACACAGTTCTGGAATTTACCTGGACTTTAGCTGAGCAGCATTTCCTGTTGATTAATAACATTTTCTGACACTGATGGTTTCTCCTGTCACTTCCTTATCTACAAACTCCTTGCCCTATCTTGGAGGATATTCACACCACCTCTTTGTACAGACACTTCCATCTTACTCCTTTCAACATGACAGGAAAGAGGGGGAGAAGCCATAAAAGGGCATTTAGGACACCTAGATGGAGTGAGAGAGGGGACTGGGTCACCCCCAAATTGAGCCGTAGGGGAGCTGGGATTTAGAGGCAATGATGGAAAAGGGATGGGAGAGGTGGATAATGGGAGGAGGGACAACAGGAAAGAGGTTCTCTTGGTGGTCCCTTTGTGTCCCCATCATTCAATCCCTGAAGCAATTCCCCATTGCTGTGGGAGGGGATGGATCCGCACTGGGGGGATCCCCAAACGACCTTGTGGGGCTGTTCCCCACACCCAGCAGCTGGTGCTGTGGCAGCCATGGGGCAGAAGGGGGTGGGAAAGGGGCATCCAGTGTGGTCAAGGAGGAGGTGGGGCAGGAAGAGCAGCAGAAGGAGAAGCACAAGTTTCCATCCTACTGGTGTAGCAGGGAGTCTTCCAGAGGAGTTCCTCTAGGGAGAATGTTTAGAGTTTTCAGATTCCAGAATAGAGACCCAAATACCTTTGTGGTCCTTGGGAGTGTTTGGTTTTTGGGGGCATATTTGGATCTTGCAGGACCCCAAGGCTGAGTCTTAAATCACCCTTTGGGGGATATTTGGGGGTCCTCATGGCAATCACCAGGTACTGGTAGGGGGAGGACATCAGTCTTGGGGACTCCTCCAGAAGAGCAGTGGAGTGGAACCCCTAGATCCCTAGAATGGGTAAAAGTCAGAGGGGTGATTCTAGAATTGTGTGAGATCTGGCAGCCTGAAGTGGGGAGGGAAGAGCCTGGAGTGTGGGGACCCCTGGAATCCTGGAGCAGAGAGTCAGGGACCACTGGGAAAACCCATGGTCATCTGTAAGCAAAACCCCCATGGTCATCTGTAAGCAAGACCCCAGAGAGGGGAAACCCCAGGAGCCACGGGACCCCTATCAGCTCAAGGAATGGAAACGACCAAACCTCAGACTGGAGAGACAAGAGAGGTGGATCTCCTATGAGGGTTATTTTGGGAGCTGAATCTTGGTGCTTCACAGATTTTTTGTTTGGACTCCTGAAGACTTCCAGCGATGTACTTCTGCAGGAGGAACCCCCAGCCCAAGGCTCTCACCCCTTGTTTTTTCCCCAAACCAGGATTTGTCATTGCCAAGCCTTGGGTGGATGGAGGAAAAGGCCCAGAGGTTCCTCACAAGGAGGGTCTGCAAAGCTTGCCGAGGGAGCTGTGGGAAGGAGGGACATGCCCTGTGCCAGGAAGGCGGCGAGAGATCCAGCCAGAGCTCGGAGCTGGTGAAGGAGAAGCCTAAGGCTGGCGAGAAGCCACACAAGTGCTTGGAATGTGGGAAGGGCTTCAGGTACAGCTCCCATCTGAGGGAGCACCAGGTGATCCACATGGGGGAAAAGCCCTACAAGTGTGGGGAATGTGGGAAGGGCTTCAGCAAGAGCTTCAACCTCATCAGCCACAGCAGGATGCACACTGGGGAACGGCCCCACACCTGCTTGGAATGTGGGAAGAGCTTCAGGCGGAGCTCCAGCCTGAGGGAACACCAGATGCTGCACACCGGGGAGAGGCCCTACGAGTGTCCCCAGTGTGGGAAGCGGTTTCTGAGGTCATCCCGTCTCCTCCTGCACCAGCGCATTCACATCGAGGAGAGGCCCTTCCGCTGCCCCGGCTGCGGGAAGGGCTTCAAGCACAACTCCAGCCTCCTCCTGAACTGGCGCCTCCACACTGGGGAGAGGCCCTACGAGTGCTCCGAATGCAGGAAGAGCTTCGTGCGCTGCTCCAGCTCCACCCACCAAGGAGAATCCACGTTGGATGATCCTCAGCAACCCCTTGGGAAGAGCCCTGGTGATCCCTGTTCTGGGTGATCCCTGTCGGATATGTGGAAGGTGTTGGAGGGATTTCTTTCCCTTCTCCTTGTCCTGCTGTGATTTGGTTGGTAATAAATCCACTCCCTGTGCCCAGGCTGGGTCTATTATACCCATGCCACTGCTCAGGGCAGGATCTCTCCCATTCCTTCTCAGCTCCTGGGCCTTTTCATTTATTTCCTCTCCAGTTGCAGAGGGCAGGGATGGAGCAGTTTTGGTGCCTACTTGCATCCAGGAAGACCAGCCCAGCCTCGGGAGGTCTGAGGATCTTGTGGGGCTCCCCCATTTGTGGGACATTCTTGCTGGAGGAGGTTGTCCCCCCTTGCTTCAGCCCCAGCCCTCAGGCAGGGCTCAGCCAAGCAGAGAACATCCTCACCTGGGGCCTCATTTCTGGGTGCAGCTGAGTCCCTGAACACCTCCATCCCATTCTGGGGTGCATCTGAGTTCTTGGATATCTGGGACCCCATTTTTTGGGATGTATTTGGTTTGCACAGACTGGTTGTGGTAGTGGGGTGGGCTCTGAGATAAGCTGCTGGAAGCATCCTGAGTGTCCAGCAGAGCCAATCCCTGGTGGTTCTAAAGATGGAGGTGCTGGATGCAGAGATCCCCAGGGTGCAGAGATTGCCCCCACAGCCCCTGGAGCAGCCCCCTGGCACAGGGGGATGCCTGAGAGGAGGCTGTGACCTCATGGAGCCCCATGGCCAGAGGGGCTCCCCCTGGAGCCAGCTGTCCTGGCAGGATTGACCCTGTGGCAGAGTGACTCCTGGGGCTGCAGCAGTGTGAGGGGGCTGCTGGCTGTGGGATGGGTTCACAGATCATAGCAGTGCCACCACAGTCCCTCCCAGTGTCCACAAACTCCCTCCCAGTCCTTCTCATTTCACTCTGAGACCTCCATCCTCTCTCCCAGTGCCCCCCATTCCATTCTGCTCGCTCTCAGTGCTCCCGCAGTCCTCGCAGTGCACTCCGAGTCCCTCTCAATGCCACACCAGCCCTCTCCTGTCTCTCCCAGTGCCCTCCCCCACTGATCCCAGTGTGTCCCCACTCTCTCCTAGTGCTCCCCAGTGTGTCCATCTCACTGGAACCCTCGAGCTCCTAGCTTGGTCCCGGCTGCCTACTCTGGTTCGTGATGGATTTCTACCCTGGCCACACCCAGCTGAAGTGGTTCCAGGGCCAGCAGGAGCTCTCTGTGGTGGCCACCAATGTGGTCCCCAGCGGGGACTGGACCCACCAGCTCCTGGTGCTGCTGGAAACCCCCCCCACTCCCAGGGCAGGGTCACCTGCAGCTGCCAGGTGGAGCACGTCAGCCTGGAGCACCCCCTGAGTCAGCACTGGGGCACAGCCCGGCCCCCACAGCACCAGGGACAGGGGGGAGGCACTGGGGGGACTGGGAGGGGGATTGGGTTCTGCTGGTAGTAACTGAGATATTTGAGATAGCCTGCCTTAAACTGGGAGAGGGGCTGGGGGGTGTGGAAGGGCTGAGAAGGAGGTTAAAGGATGTTGGGGAGGATGGGATGGGGTTCTGGGGGTCCTGATGAGAACTGGAGGGAGTTTGGAGGTGCTGGGTGTAACTGGGAGGGATTTGAGTAAGCCTGGGGGGACTGGAATGAGATATGGGATGCAAAAGTGGGTGTTGGAATGAGGGTATTTATGCAGGGAAGGGACTGGGAGGGGTCTTGGTGAGTCCTTGTGGGGCTGGAAAGGGACTAGGAGAGGGTTTGGGGGTTTTGGGATGGAGACAGGCAACTGGGAGGGTGCTTGGAGGGGCTTGGGGTGTCTGTGAGAGGTTTTGGGGGGTCCTGACCCCTGCGGACCCCCCAGATATTCTGCTGGGATCATACTGGGGTGTAACGATCCACTCATGCGGGGTGTCGTGATGGTTCATTAATCCATCCCAAAAGTGCAAAAAGGCAAACAGCAAGGGACCATCAGTTTAATCATAACAAATGCACCTTTGTTGTGGTACCAACAGCAAATGCGATAGAGGGGACAGAAAGGAAATAAAGGATAGAAAGAAAAAGAGGGAAAAGGGGAATAGCTACCATCATCTGAGACAAGACCCTCAATGGTCCAGCCACATGGATTCGCCATTCTGCATGGGAATTAACCAAAGTCATCCCAAAAATGTTACAGTTTATATAGTCTTTAGCCAAAGCCAGTGACATCTGGCCAGAAGGTTGGGAAGACTGATGGGCCATTGTGAAGAGACCCCTTGGTCTGTGAAGCAGGTGCAGGCATGAGGGACAAGCCACCGCTTGTCACAACCGGCTCAAATGCAGTGTTCTGTAGAAATACAGCGAGTGCACCTGCAAACAGTCACTTGGCAAGTGTCCACATCCACCTCAGCCAAGCCAGAACTCCTGTCGGGGGTCTTCAGGGTCTTTGCGACAATTGTGAGGCAAGTGAAGGAAACTTTGGATTGTCTCTTACATGGGGGTAACAGGGATTAAACCTGACTGGGAGTCAGTCCCCTAATATTGGGAGTGTCTGGAAGTTACTGGGATCATACTGGGTGAGACTGGACTCACTGGGATCATGCTTGGAGCAACTGGGACCATGATGTGGGCAAATGACATCCTAGAAGGAGTGACTGGGAGTGACTGGGTTCATACTGGAAGTTACTGGGGCCATACTGGACTCCTGGGAATGACTGAGAGTGGAAGGAACCATACAGGGCATGACTGGGAGAAACTGGAACCATGTTGGGGGTAACTGGGATCTTATTGGGAGTGACTGGGAACATAAAAGCTTGAATGGAGTTTCTATCCTGTGACATTCCTGGGGAGCAGCGGCAGCTCTGCACCCCCAGCCTGGGGAGTGGGAGCAGGGGAACTGCTGGCAGCACCTTCAGAACACAGCCAAGAGCTGCGGGGCTCCTCCCCTGCTTAATTTTCTCTCCCTAATTCAAATCATCCCCTCCCATTCAAATACCCTCCATTCACATTTTCTCCCTACAATAAACATTTCCTTGCCCCAGTTAAACTTTTCTCCCCAGTTAGACTCTGAGTCTACCCCCACCCCTGGCTTCTCCCAGCAGGACTCGTCCAGGACCTTCTGG